CAGAAGGCCATCAAGGACCGCAAGGCGGTGGCGATGAAGACGCTGGAAAAGACGGGGTCCTGGGACGTGCAGCTCGCATCGCTCCTCGACGACGAGGACTGCTCCAGGGTGCCGACCTGGGCGGTGAAGAACGCGAAGGACAGCCACAAGGATCTCTCGAAGCTCAGGGAGGCCGCGAAGACCGCGCTCGAGGACCCCAGGGCGAGCTTGCCGTACGAGGCGAAGGCCCTGGAGGCAGCCCTCGCCGACGCAAAGACCGCTGTCGGTGGCCTGCGTTCGGCCATCGAGCACGCGAGCTGCTCAACGGCCTTTTCATCCATCGTGAATGGCGGTGCTCCGCCGATCGACCGCTCGACTGCCGATCGATCGATCGAAGATTTTGCTGATCGACCGCTCGACCCATCGAGGATTTCGCCGATCGACCGCCGACCGATCGCGTTCGGATCGGCCGACCGCCGATCGATCGATCGACCGCCGATCGAGCGCCGTTCGATCGCGATCGACCGCCGATCGATCGCGTTCGACCGCCGATCGATCGCGCTTGCGTCCCGATCATCCTTCTACAGGCCAAGAAGTACAGCAATAAGAACACCTCGAAGGACTGAGCTCGGCGGCGGCTGCCCTGCTCAGTCCCCAGCCGCTGCGACGCGCGCTGGGGCGCGTTGGAGGCGCGCTGGAAGTCTGCCCCCGCCCGCGCAGACTTCCCTCGCTTAGACAAAAACTATATTCCTCCGTGGTCCGCCTCCCTTTCCTCGTGCACGGCGTCCTTGTAGCCTTGCTCCTCTTATTTCTGGCGGTGCACCGCCCATGGGCAGCATCCGCCGACGGCGGTAGTTTGCCTCCTGTCCACACCCCGCACTCTTCTGGCGGTACACCGCCCGTTGCCAGCCATCCGCCGACGGCGGTACTCCGCCTCCTGTCCATGCCCCGCACTCTTCTGGCGGTGCACCGCCCGTGTGCAGCCATCCGTCGTCGGCGGTGCTCCGCTTCCGGTCCATGCTCAGGAGTCTTCTGGCGGTGCACCGCCTGTTGTCAGCCATCCGTCGTCGGCGGTGCCCCGCCATCCGTCATCCGTTGTCACCCATCCGTCATCCGTTGTCAACCTTTTCCACCGCCTCACCCACCCTACTTCTACGGCTCGAAGGGCGCCCGCGGCGGCGCGCCAGGCGGGGGCGGCGCCATGGCCGAGCGATGGCCCCCTGCCGAGCGTCAGAGGCTGCAGGAGGCAGCGCTTCTGCGCCCGCGGCGGCGCGCCAGGCGGGGGCGGCGCCATGGCCGAGCGATGGCCTCCTGGCAAGCGTCAGAGGCTGCAGGAGGCAGCGCTTCTGCGGGGCGCATCGCGGGCGGCGCTGGACAGGTGCACGGAATCCAAAAATCATAATGCGCAATGTGTTTGAAGGATGTTTTGTTTGGTCGGCTTTTTCTTTTCAAAATGCCCAACAGATCTCCACCCGCCTTCCCCGCGCAGGGTGGCTCGCGTCCTGCTGCAGGACGACGACGAGCACGTGGCGGCGGCGACCGTGGGCGCCGACGTGGCTCGCGCGGTGGCGCCGCTTCTGGACGCTATCGAATTGCCGCGCCGAGACGGTGGCCCAGCGTTCAGGTGGACTGTATGTTTGCCCGACAAGATCGTCCCCAAGCTTGCCCACGCGGCGGGGCCTTGGAGTGATCGGTTCTGGGCGGCGATGCGGGTGTTTCCTTCGTCGCCATCGCAACCGTGGCGGATGCTGCTCTACCACGACGACGTGGTCGTCGGCGCGCAGCTCAAAGCTGCAAACCGCAGGACGTCCATTGTTGTGTACATTAGTTTTTTGGAGCTGGGCACATACCTTCAAGAAGAGGGCGCCTGGCTCCCGCTGGGAGTCCTTCGGTCAGAGGACAAGAAGGATATCACCGCAGCGGGCGTGGTGAGGGCCATCCTGCGGCGCCTCTTCCTCGGGCCAGGAGGCGGCGGTTTCGACGTCGGCGCGTCTCGGTTGCATTTCAAGTGCCACAGGCTGATCATGGACGAAAGCGCGGGCAAGGACACCTTCTCGTACAAGGGCTCCAGCGGTTGGCGGCCCTGCTGCAACTGCAAGAACGTCGTGCTCGACCAGGGGACTGGCACCCTCAGCCGTTGGGACCCGTCTGGTTACCTGGTGGGTATCGCTTGCGTCGACGCCTCGAGGTTCGACCCGATGACTGCGGAGGCGTCGGGGGCGGGCAATGCGCGGCCGACGCTCGGCGAGTCCAGAGAGTTCACGAACGGACTTCGCGAACTCCCGGGAATTCGCGAGCGGAGTTCGCTCGGCCGGCTCCCGCCAAGGAGTTCGCGAAGGGGTACGACGAACTCGTGGAACTTCAACGCACGGCGAGTGCAGTGGCCTTCCAGAATTTCCAATCCGCGTACGGCATCACAGTGAACGAGTTCTCGTTGATGGCCGACGTCGAACTCCGACGCGTTTGCTCGCTGGACATGTACACGCGCGACCCGATGCACATCATCCTGGCGAGCGGAGGCACGTTCCAGGTGGATGTGTTCTGCCTGCACAAAGCAGTGGCGCGCGTGATTCCAGACGTGTGGGATCGGTGGCGAACCGATTTCCAGCGCTGGGCTCCAGGCCGCGGCGGAGGGAAAGCTCCCGTGCATCTCTTCTCCCCTGCCAGGAAGAAAGCCTGCGTCGAGGCAGGGCATTTCGTCGGCTCCGCGTCGGACTGCCTCGCCGTCCTGCCGTTCCTCAGGAACTGGCTGCACGGGGATTTCTTGCCGCATCACGCGCCGTTCCTGCCCCAGGCGCGGTCCTTTGAGGCCATGTATGCCGTCCTGGAACAGTACCTGGCGGCGAAACGCGGCGGCTGCCCAGACACGTTCGATGTTGATTTCAAGCGCCATGTCGGGTTGGCGCTCAGGAAACACGTGCGGGCCTACACGGACGCGTGGATCGTGCCTAAGCATCATGATCTTTGGCACGCAGCTGTGCAGGCGGCGGAGGATGGGTTGATGCTCGACTGTTTCGTGCTCGAGCGAAAACACAAGCTCATCAAGGACACCGCGGATCACTACGACCGCTTGGGCGGCATGGACAAGGATGTGATCACCCAAGTTGTGGCTACGTACTTGCACGAGTCCTCGGCCGCGCCGGGCCAGTCGCACAAATGGTGGCCGACCCCTGAGCTCGACGGGGTCATCGGGCAGCGCGGTTGGGGCCAAATGGGCTTTGGCGCACGCGCGAGCCTCCATGGGGGGCGCGCCTGCGGGGGCGCCTCTCGGGGCAACGCCGAGGCTCGCACGTGCACCAGGGCCTATCCAGGCACGGCGCAATCACTTGTCGTCGAGCTGCTGTCGGCGGCCTCGTCTACGGCAGCGGGGACGTGTGGCTCGAGGGCGACGCCGCGTTCCACGTCCACTGCGTGGCGGTGGCCGCGGGGCGCTCCTACCTCATCGAGGAGCCGCTGGACCTGGCGTCGCGGCCTGCGCCTGGGGAGTCCGCGTGGCGGCCACGAGGAGGACCGAGCTGTGCAAGGAGGAGGGAGGGGGAGGAGGGGAGGGGGGGGGAGGAGGAGGAACAGGGGGACGAGGAGGAGGGGAGGAGGAGGGGGGCGAGGAAGGAGAGGAGGAGGAGGAGGAGGAGGAGGGGGACGAGGAGGATGGGATGGCCCACTACGCCGCCGCCCCATAGGATGCGGCGCGCTGGCTGCTGAGGACGCCCCGCGGGCGCCTGCGGCGTACACCCGCCGAGCCGAGGACGGCTCGGTCCGCGCGCGGGTGTAAAACGCGCGCGCGCGGCGGTGCACCGCCTGGCGGTGGGCCGCCTGTTGTAAAAAATCACGTTCGCGCGGCGGTAGCCCGCCTGGCGGCATCCCGCCGGGGGAAAAGGAGGGACGGAGAGGAGGGGAACGGGAGCGGGGCCCCGCAGGCTGCACGGATCGATGGCGACGCCGACGCGTTTTTGAAAGCGCCCCCGCCCCCCATTTTCCATACGAAAAAGCAGACTTATCGGACTTATAAATTAGATATAAGTTACATATAAGTAAGATATAAGTAAACTAGTTTTGATGAAGATGCTAGATATAAGTAAGAAGAAGTAACATACATGCAGCATGTAACATATGTCAACGCCATCACCAAAG